ACAGACAGACAGACAGATATGTATATATATAATTTTAGAAGACGTGCCATATTGGGCAAATGGAATACATATAAATGTATCTAATGGAATACATTAGAAACCAGGAGATGGTGACTTCTAGTCCTGCCTTGGCACTAAACCAGCTGGGTGATCTTCACCAGTCATTCTCTTTCAACCCTAGGAAGCAGGTAATGGCAAAGTACTTCTGAAGTCTTATCAAGAAAATGCAGGAACTTGTGCAAGCAGTTGCCAAGAGTCAAGATTGACTTTTTTAAAATGTACATTCAAAAACAAATATCCAGTAATGGGTAAAACAGGAAAAATACACAAAATACATTCTATTCTGTGAGGAAAAATATCAGTTGTGCCAAGCACAAAGAAATGCATACAATAATGTTGATACTAGGAGAAATATATACAAAAATGTTGTGAATTTTCATACAGATTTATTATACGATCAATTCATTGATTGATTCAAATAGGCTGAAATGAATGTGCTATAGAATCAGGAAATAAGTAATGGACAAAAATTGAAACTGAGAGATTGATTCAATCTTAATCACCAAATGCCATTCATAATCTTTTTTTTTAGGAGTGTTATTCAAACAAAAATCTAAAGTGTAACACTAAAAGTTTAAAAAGATTCTATCAAATTTCTTCTGAATCTTCTTATCAGAAATTGATGAAGTTCTGGGTTTTGATGATTAATTTGTTTATGGTGAATGGAAGTACTTTTGGTTATGGTACATTCCAGTTCAAAAGTCACTGATATTTAGGTTATTAACTGTATTGAAGGAACTTGGAAGTTACTTTCTTTTTTTCTGTTTCCATTCCCCAATCCTGCCTTTCTTATCCATTTCTTTTTGTTTTTAATGAGGGGTTGTTGTTGTTTTGTTTTTTTGTGTATTTTATACTTTTAAAAAAGTTTTGAGAAGAAAAAATTGAAGAAGTTCACCAAATTTATCTGAACTTATAAATGCGAATATAGGTAGCCTTGTTTAAAACATTTTGGATAACAGAAAAAGTAAGATGTCGCTGGAAAAATGATATTGTGTCTATTTGTACAGTTGCAAGAACTGCAACAACCTTGCCCAATCTGATCTCTTCCAGATGGGTTAGGTCCATTAGGAGTATATACTCCAAAATGTCCCAACACATTTCATAGACAATAGATTGGCATGAGATGGATTTTAAGATAGCCTAACACTTCTTCACTATATATAATTTTTATGACTCTGAATTTTAGTATTAGTACCACTATCTTGTTTAGAGAAGGCTGTTCTCAAAGATAAGCAAGTAGTCTTTATTTTAAAGACAACCAGACATCGCTAAAGCTATAAGGATTTCTGCATCCCTCCCATCTGGAACATTGTTAAGAAAATAGACTGAAATAAAATATATCTTCAGTTAAAATTTATTTCCACAAGTGTAACAAAATAGTGTCACATTCATAATTTCGTGCTGCTATGCCTCCAAAGCATTTTACAGGAATCTGTCAAATGCAATCAAACTTGTTTATTCTTCATGTAAACGTAGGACCTAAGGCAATCTTCTTTTTGGGGAAAAAAATGGAAAAAGCACATATTGTCCCTGGCAGTTACTTGGCAAGATTTTTTTTTAAAATACAAGGCAAGAGAAAGCTTAATTACCACTTCATTTTAGTGAGTTCAGTCCTTTAGCATTTAAACTATACAAGAACCATTTTGTTTATTTGCCAGAAGTAGTGACAGCCCAGCAACCAAACCCAGTTTAACTGGGGATCAGGAAGAGATATGAAATGTCATATGAAAGCAATTCAAATCAGGTTATTCCAAGCTGCATTTCTGATCCATAAGCCTAAGCAAATAATAATTATGAGGATGTGTGGAGTCAACCTATGGATTCTATAATTTAAGTTTCTCCCAGAATAATTTCCAGTTGAGAAGCTTGTTCTAATGATAAATCTTTCTTGGCAGTTTACAACAGAATCCTGACTACTGCAGCACTGATACAGAATGATGAGGTTCTGGGAAAGATTCATCTGCCTGCTTCCTTTTTTACACAACTAATTTTAAACAGAACAATTGTTTGCCCTGATTTCTCTGTGACTCACTCAATTGTCTTCTTGACCAACATTTGCAGAACTAGACAAAAGCTACTAATACTCTTTAACTACATAGGAGCTTCATTAAAACAAGAATAGATAATTTGGTTTCAAACATTTTTCATTAGCAATCTACACTGTCCTATACCTAATCACCTCCTCTTATGTTGTGAACAAACGAAGCAACCAAAGTGCAAGTGTGAAACAGTGGAAAACACGGGATGCAGAAGGTTCATTTTTCTTTAATCATCTTTTTTAACAGCCAGCCCTGGTCATCTTATTTTAAAACTGAATGAATGAATGTAATATGCATGAAATATATATCTGCTATTGTAGATTGTCCAACAAAATAAGTCAATAGATAAATAGATGTAAATACTTTCCAAAATAAGACAGTGCTCATGATTGAGAAATCACTTAATTTTGTATAATTGACGTCCGTTTAGTCCCAAATAATATAATCTGGCTACATGTTTTGTGACCTAGCAGGATATTTTTGTGCAATGCCTAGGAGTCCAGTATACCAAAAGAAGCTCAGGTGATTCATATGCTGGGTATTTAGATTTGCAAACAAGTCTATTGGGAATTATGTCAATAGTGCCAGCTGAAGGTTTTAAAACATAACAGCAACTAGAAAGGATTGTAATATTTAATCAAATTTGAATTACAACTATCAGGATATCATTGATGCACATTGAATCTGTTATTCCTAAAATGGATCCTCCCACTCAAAAAGCTGACATTTCTGGGGTTACCAAGACAACAGCAGCTGCAGCACACTCATTCAGAAGTATATCATCACCTAGTTCCTTAAGACGTGTTATTCCTCCTTCCTTTTTGAAGCCCTCCTAATGTGTTATTTACCCAATTCATAATTGAAGAAAGAGTCAGGAGAAGTACAAACCCATTTCCCTGCAACAACTCAGGAGTAAAGTCCAATGAGACTTATTTCCAAGGAAAAACATTTACTTCCAAGTACCCAGATGCAGGATTTTAAACCCAAGCCGAGGAATCAAGGAGATTTTTCTATTTGTGCCACAAGATTCCTGCATCACAAGAATAAAAAAGGAAAAAAAGAGAGAAAGCAAACAAAAAAGATTCTTAATTGGGGAAGGGTTTCAGGTGATTTTAACCATCCTAGGACAAATTACAGAATGGGGAGGCAGGGTTGAGAGGCTGATATTTAATCCAGTACTGTATAAGCTTTGATTGAAGACTCCTATAATGTCTAAACTTTTAAGGACTTTGCTCAACATTTCATGCTAAATTGTAGACCAGATTAAGTTCTTACCTTTGAGATGTTGATGATGGGCCCTGTGGAAGCGGTTGGGGTTGCCCCTAGGTATTGCTGGGATACTGGAGAAACTGTTCCCCATGGCATCAAAGGCAGCTAAGGGGACGACAAGAACTGGAGGGCTTTAGGTTTGTTGTGCTGCTCTGGATGAGAGGAAAGGGGTCATGGAGGGGAGCAAAGGGCTGGTCTCTCCCCTCCCCTCTTCGGACCTTCCTCCTCCTCTCTCTCGTTATCCTTTCGGTTTAAGATCCCCTTTGTCTTTCCTTCCTCGTAAATGGTGTTTTTCGTTTTTCTTTTTTTCCCTTTGAGCTAAGTCCACATCGCCTTGGCTGTCACAGAAAACCAACGGGAAGAAGCTGTCTCCCAGAGGAGCTAATAGCTTGGAAGCCTTCTGCGGCGCCTTCTTCTGTATCCCTCGGGGAATTCAGGTGGATTTGAATCCCATCAAATCCTCGCTCCGAGTTCCGCTTCTCTTTCGGCGTCCCTTCTCGCCCCCTCTCCCTTCCCGCTGGCTCACACTGTCTAGTTTACCTTGCTCAGGCAAAGCAAGAAGAGGGATGTCATCTGGCCCCGCCTTCGCTCAACCGTCAGCTGCTGCTGAAACTTGGCGTCTCCTAATCCTTCGATCAGTCCCCCGCCACCTTCCTCCTCCTCCTCCTCTTCCCCCGGCATTTCTCCCTAATCTGGGGGGGGGGGAGACGGACTGCTGTGGCGCCCCTTTCCAATCTGGTTGTTATGGCGATAGCTGCCTCCTCAGGCTCGGCATTTAAGGGACCGGACGGATCACGTGGACAACCAGATGTGCCACCTCTGGAGCGGAAGGCCGGCCGGAGAGGCGCGCGACCTCTCTCTCTCTCTCTCTCTCTCTCTCTTTCTTTTCACAGTACCTGGTTTACAGGTACCTGGCCGTACATCCCTCACCGTGCATAGTACGGAGACACCGAATCTTTTTCGAGCGAAAACCGTCGGTGGAAGCTCCGCCTCGCTTCCCGCTCCAGCGGTTTGGACACTAAAGAGAAAAGGGCGGGCGTAGGCGCACCTTTCTGGCGAGATGAAAGGTCGACCCGACGGGGAAAATATGGGCAGCCGGCCGAGTGAATGCGGGCACGGGATGCTGTTGCGGGACGAATCGGAGAAGAGGGTCGGCGGGGCGAGTAATTTTACACGCAGAAACCGAAATGGTGCCCTAGGGGCGAGTCCCGAACCGGCAGGTGAACCTAGTGCCTAGTGGTGTTATGTTTTCGGTAGTAGGATAGGGATGAGGAACAGGAGTGATCCTGGGCACGTCCCGACAATATTTCCCTGCGAACCCGTTTGTTTCCCCTTTTTCTTAGAGTCGGGTTTTATCCGATTGGATTAAATCAGGAACTGAGATTGTGTGGCCCGCCCACGTGCCTCTACTCCTAAAAATACTTTTAACGCCGTTGTGCAAAAGTAGAAGGGAATAATAGTGTTTGGTGGCAAAGGGAGATATATCTGTATCCAAAGGTAGGTAGGTATAAAATGACGCATAATATCTATTTGAGACATTTGTCCAAGAACTAGATGTCCAAAGATTGCTTTTTGCAATTGCATACTAAAGGAAGTAAAGGCTCTAGATTTCTGCATAAATACTGTCTAAAACTTACAGTTACCAAACTGAAACACCCATATTACCAGAGTCTTATCTTAGGAGGCTTTCAACTGTAAATCAGCCTGTCAAATCACAAACATTTTTGTGTGGATCTAATTTCACTCTCTGAAGTACATTATGTGGGAATTGGAAAGTATGCTAATATTTATCTAAGTATGTTTTTTGGGAGGGAAAACTATATACTTTATTATTGCTTCTATATATCTCAACTTCACACTACCTTATTACAATGTATGTTTGCAATTCACTGCATAGTGACATACCTTCCCAGATTTTTTTAAAAAAATATTTAGATAAATATTAGGCCTTCTGAAAAGGAATATACTTCACCTTAATACTTAGAATTAGCAGTCAGAAGACCCAAGAAGACTATCCAGTCCAAACTGTTGATTTCTGTAAGTAGCTGAGAACAGCTTTATTTGCATTTCAGCTTGTTATGAATATAAATAATTCCAGATGACTCAACCTTTCTTGTGCCAAAGGAAAGTCCTTAGGCCAGTGATGGCGAACCTTTTGGGCCCTTAGTGCCCAAAGTGTGCACGCACACATGTGTACGCATACCCAAAAATGCAAGGCACCCCCCACATGCACATGCCCCCCACTTGCCCCCCCGCCCCCTGTGCATGCATCCCACCCCACCACACATGCACAGCAGACACCCGAAGGCCAACTGGCCAGTGAGAGGCGTGCGCACATGTACAATGGAGCAATGTCACGTGTGCCCACAGAGAGGGCTCCGTGTGCCATCTGTGGCACACATGCCATAGGTTCGCCACCACGTCCTTAGGCCCTCTGGAAATTAGGCAATGTCTGTTACATTATGAATATCAGGACCATTACATTTTGTTTTAGCCATTTTCCTAATCTCATAGAATAACAGAGTTGGAAGGGACCTTGGAAGTCATCTAGTCCAACCCCCTGCTCGAGCAGGAGAGTCTATTCCAAAGATTAGCCTCTGTCTAGAATCGAACTCACAGCCTCTTGATTGTGAGGCGAGAGCTCCACTTCTAGGCCACCAGACTCATAGACCTAGATGCATAAGAATTAAACCTTCCATATTTCTCCAGTCTGCAGTCTATGCTCAGTATAAAATTAACTGAGAAAAAGGATGTATATATGTTTTTTTTCTTCTTCAGTGATTGTCCCTCTGTTGCATTCCATATAAAAGGTTTTTCCTTAACTTATCAATATCTTAACTGTCTCTATCAGGAAACTGAAAACAATGAAGAAAAGCCCAGCCAGAATGTTCAGCAGGCTGACCTATATGTTGGTTTTAAAAGATGATTAAGGAGATTTAATAGACTCGCTATACATAGTGTGGGGATATGTATGTGGTAATCAGGCTTCACAAAAATAAATCTTGCTTCTCAAGATATTAAGTTCTGCATTCAATAACTAGTTAACAGGAGAAACTTCAATGATACAAAGTGGATTAATGAAGTTCTTAAGTGCAGACAAGATTGCAAGTCATATATATTAGATCTACTAAAACACAAAACTGAAGTCATAAGTCTTTTAAGCTTTGTCTTTCACCTGTTTTTTCTCAGCTTTGAAAATATGTGATACCTGCCCAAAATTTGCACAAGAGTTCTGTCTGGCCTGAGCACTGCTGATTCTCAAATAGATATGAATATAGATATAGATATAGTTTTTATTGAAAAAAATTTCATAGTTAAAAGATCAACAAGAAGAGTATATAAAGAGGAAATAGAAAAAGAAAAAGTGCTAGAAACAATACAGATAAAGAAAGAAAAAGAAAGACATGCAGCTTTTAGTGACTGCTGGTATTCATGCTAATGATCCTCAGTCTTTACATTATAAGAGGAAATCAAATAAGCAATTCAAATTAGAAATCACCAGTATTTAATATACATAGGTGGTTTCATTTTTTGCAAAATCACAAATATGAATGTAGCTGTAAGATAAATTGCGAAACTGCAAAATTAATTATGTATTTATCATTTACATGTCATTTTCTATTGCTTTTAGATAAAGGCGCCAGAATCTGATTGAGTATGAGTTAATTATTTACAATATTGTAAAATTGTGCAATATCACAGTAATTAGTTTAGTCACACAGCTATCGACAAAGAAATAACATGAAATTTAAACTGTCCAATTATTTAAAAAATCCAAATGTCCGAATATCTAAATTGGCAGTGTCTAAAATCTTTAATTAATATTTGTTTGAGGTGGTTCCAAACTGATACTGATTATTTTACAATCAATTAAAAAGTAGTATTAGGGTGAATGTTAATTATTTGGAACACCATTGACGTAAAGAGTTGGAATATCTCATATTAACAAAAAGTGGATTGCAGAATACTATCTTTCTTTTTATTATACAATAAGATTAATTATTTTTCCCATGTTTATTGAACATTTCAGAGAATAAAAATGGTTGTCAGTTTTATAATCCTTAGAAGTATAAAGGGATTGAAGGAGGATTTAGGAATATATTATTGCCCCACAATCATTAGTTTAATATATATTAATAAGGTTTGGGGAAGAATAACGTGGTTTAATGATTTGAGTGCCATTTTTAATAATATAGCAAAATTTTCAAATCAATTGTTAGGTGAAGAATAATGAGGTTTTTAAACATTGAGCTAGCAAAAGAAATTGCTTCTGTGATGGAAAAACAGGGATACCCAGATTTACAATCTTAGATTGATGATATGTGTTTGTTGTCTGCTTACAAAGTGGTTTTTCATCAACATAGTAGAAAGATTGATCAATATTGCTCTATGTGGTGAAGGTTTTAACACTGTGTTTAAAATTAAGCTGTTTATACATGCATAATGTTTTCCTCATTGTCTTTTTCCTTTTAATTTTTCCCTTTCTTTTCTCTGTGTTAAACTGAATGTATTTAGCAGTTATGATTTATGCAATTGCGTGGCTACTAGTTTTAGTTTATGAGAAATAATTTCCAATTTTAAAAATATTATTTCTTGATGTATACCTTTGCATAGGAATAGCAAAAGAAGTTTCATGTCTTGAGCATCTACAAAGGTTGGCTGAATAACTTACTTTCATCACTTATTTCTTAATCTCAGTAGATGAAAATTCCACCCATTCTTATCTGAAAGGCACAGGATGCATTAGAGAACATTGTGAATAACTTTTGTTATTATCTGGTTTGGGGATCTTTAGGTGTTGCCCTCTGAATGTGTTGAACACTCAAATTCTCTTATGTGGTAAATTTTGTACTAATAGATCCTATGCTACCCATTCATGTTACAGCATTACAGCAACTAAATGTTATAACTGTGTTTTGGTGGCTCCAGTTAGTTAGGGCTACGCTAGGGGAGAAATAAATGTAGGACTTATTTTTGCATATTTGTTTTCTGCCTATAACTTTTTTTTATCAGTTACTTCAATTTCTATCATTTCCCCTTTGTGAAAAGCTGAGAATAGAAAAAAGGCGAAAAAGTAACATGATCCTTAGC